TGCTAGAGAAAGTCACCAGAGACTGGAGAGCAGTAAAGGGGCGTTCAAAGAACTGTAAATATTCATGAACATTTTTTACAGGGCTGGCCTTCTTTTAGGCCTCATTCACACTGCCGCGCATATACGTGCGTATGTGTGTATTGTACCATATGCAACATATGCAAATAAATGGCTCCATACACATAGCCATGTATGGAGCCATATATTTGCGTAGCGTAAAAATGCCCAAAAACAGAATGGAACAGAGATGCGTCCGGGCAGCATATTTCTGCATATTTTACACGCATACGCATGTTTGCGCATATATACGCACGTATATGCATCCAGTTCATTAAAATTTCTATTAGGAACGATGCATTCTGGGAATGCAAATAGTGCACGCATATACGCACATACGTTCGTATATACGCGCATTTTTGCTCTTGTGTTGTGTGTGAATGAGGCCTTATAGGTGACCCTGTGCTGACAGGGTCACATTAGAAAGACACTATTAGACTGGGGAGAGGTTACATGAGACTGAAAGAGGTCACCTCTATGACTGGCCCCTTTTATTAAAATGTATCTAAACCAGTCCTTAGATGTGCTGGCTTCAGTTTTAATTTATCAGGCTGTTTTATCGTTATTTTCAACCGGTAATCACGTAAACAAACACATTTCCTGTACTTTCATGCCAACAATGTTTTATCCACTGTATCAATGGAGGGTGCCATGACTGTCACACAGGATGGACTTTAGACATCTCTGCCTTTGTTCATTTTCATTACATGGTGGATTGCCCATATTTACACAATAAAAAACAAGACTTTTTGTGCTTTCTTTTAGGCTCACAGAAAGTGACAAGGACACTGCATTTCTGGAAAGATCAACACGTATTTTCTGTATTTGCTCTTAATTTGCTTCTTGAAAAGTGAAAATGAATGAAGCCACCACATCTACGGATTGCTAAGCTGCCATTTATTACATTTTTGTTTTTGGGTTTAGATACACTATAATACTTCCTCATTTTTACTCCCCACATCCCCTTTAAAAATCACTTGTGCTGCATTTGATATTTATATAAGCAATCTATTATTAAAGATCAGAGAGGGAAAAAAAACAAAGAAAAGGGATGGGGGAGAACAGAAAACGTAGGATTGTATAAAGAATATTTAACCTTCACTGGCTTAAAGTGTATTTCCGCTTTTGCAGTCAAATTTGAGAAAACCGCTCTATACGTTCGTTATGTGTTCCCATTCACACAGCATACTGAAAAATGTCTTACCTGTTAGGTGTTTTGTAAAACCAGGCAAGATGGCTGATTGCAGGTTTTTCTCAGCCCTTTCACACTGATCTGTGTGAATGGGAACGTGTAACAACTATAAAATAGGTGTAATCCCAATTCGGCTTGCGAAAGTGGAAATACACTTTAAGTAAGCACCAAAACACAGACTACATTATACACCAATTGTACGGCTCCCATCCCTGATGGTCATCCCAAACGTAACCCCCTGAGCAGCCCCTGAGGGACACACAATCAATGTCAAAGGGCCACAGGTAGGGCACCAGGGGTCTACCCATTACTGCTCAAATATTTCTAGAATGTAGTGAAAGTAAATCCATGGTGTATATTTTCATGTTCAAATGAATTATCTTTTTCTTTTTTTTTTCATAATCATCCAAGCAACCGAACTTGCAAAAGGGGTTAGGGAGTGTGAAGTGAAACTGGCACGCTTCCAGGCAACAACGGCCATAACTGAAAGTCTGATGAAAAAAGCAGACACCACGCGGTTCTTCATTACTCAGCTCTTATCAATATTGGCTGCAACATTAAAGAGAAGTCAGCTCAGGAAGGAACAAGGGTTCCTACAAGCAAAACAAAACAAAAGCTATTCTTTACCCCCTGCATAATTACAAGTATCATGGAACGGTCAGCTCGCATATACCAGTGGGTCAGATTCAAATATATTTTCCCTATTAAAAAAAAAGCCCTTCTTTGCCCATCAGGACTATAGCTATTACAACGGAGATACGTGTAGTATCTTTTTCAATGAATGGGAGGGATTTACCATCTAGGAACACTGAACTGCCTTTCAATAGTTTTCCCTAGAAGTAAAAACAGCAGCGTATCATGCAATTTACTGTAGAATACAGTCTTTTAGAAGCCAGTGATAGTAGTCAAACTTCACATGCATATATAACAGCAGGATTGACATTTTCCACATTACCCTTTTCCCATACATTACCCTTTTCCCATACATTACCCTTTTCCTGTACTCCAGATTCTTAACATCCTGCAACTTTTAATGCATGCTCAGATTTTTCTGTACCTGATTAATTTTCATCACAGCAGCTGTTGCTGATCTGCATTACCCAGAATGCTCAGGTAGACAACAGATGGCTAAAAAAGGCTGATCGTCGCATCACAACACTATATTTAAAAGCATATCTAAAGCCAAAAACAAAAATGTAGTATGTTGCAGCTAATCGGTGCTTGGATTTGGGGACTGCATTGGGTTTCCTTTTTCAGGCTATAAAACTTTTCAGCCAGTACAGAAGATACCTGTTGATCTTGCGAAAATGTTGTGTCCTTGTCACTCCTTAGAGGAATGCACAAAAGCCTTTATTATGTAAACTACTAGTCCCATGTCCCTAATGAATGGAGATGAAAAGAGAACAGACATTGAGGGACAGGAAGTGTGTTATTCTCAGAATCACGTTGTGGAAATAAAGGGGAAAAAATGTCTGTACATCTATGGACTAGTAAGCTGCAATATATTCCATTTTAGTTTTTGGGTTTAGATACGCTTTAAGTATAAATTTAGTAAGATAAGATAATATATAAGTTGAAGGGGAAACTCTGCTTTAGTTATAAATATACATAACAGAAGATAATGCTACAGAAACCATTTGTAACTTAGCATTACTAGTTACCTTTGCATTTTAGACTGAAACCAGCTGTGAATTTCACATCCTACAAGATATAATCCTATTTCTGTTTGTTGTAAGCATGACAACAACATTCTATTTGTTTACAGATCTTTCCAGAAAATCCAGTGCCCTGCTCATGAGGTTGGCTCACTGCTTTCCCAGAAGCCACATTAAGGCATCATTGATCTTGCATGTGTAAAATTATGATGAAGCTGCAGCTTTTCTTATTACATTAAGACTGACCAGGTGGTTATAATAAAAGAGGTGCACTGGAACCCAGGATACATGGCGGGAAGGGGGGGCATTTAGCTTTACATAAACCTTAAATTAGTTAAAACAATAGACAGCAATACAAACCTGACAAGTGTTGTAAATTAAATTGGACATCACCATTCCCTATTATTAAAATATGGTAGCCTTTATAATTTGCTCTTTCAAATGCGCTTTCTTTTTCCACAAAAGTGCATTCTAAGCAAAATCTAAATGTGCAGATTTAATTTTTTTGCCAAATGTTAACAGCTACACTCTTATCTCTTTCTCTGACCATTCCCCCTAGTTTCTGACCTCAGTCTACTGTATTGCAGAGGGCAATGGCACATGTCTGTCACAGGAAGGTGGCTTTGAACGGTTAGCTGTAATTGACAGCTTGGCTCCACCATCTCTGTGCTGTGCAAGAGGCAAGATGGAGGCTACCAATGGGACAGACTGGTAGTTTATAACCTGAATAATTAATATTTTGAAGCTTTTATAAATATTTGGCAAGTAAAGGGCTTTAGTACATTTCTTTAAACTTGTTCACTTTATGACTCAGGGAAAGATTTAAGGGATCATGCACATGGTGCTTTTTAGCTTACAATGCAAACCTGAGGGTATATTACCACACTGGGGATACATAGCTGCTATGTACAGCTGTCCATAGTAAAGAATAGCTGTACGTAGGTTTACATTGATTTTGCTGTAAACCCACACATGTAAACCCATAATACCCTAGAAATAGACTGTCTTTGTCCAGGGGCGTACAGTTTTATGGATACACATTCATACAAGTAGGGCTGTAAACACCCACACAATATGGAAGGCTGTACCCAGCAGCTATGTATCCCCAGTGCCAAAATACATCCGCAATTTTACATTGCATGCCAAAAGGCGCGTGTGTGCATGAGTCCTTAGGCATTAGTAACAGAAAAGCAAAAACTGGAAAATAACTTGGAGATTACTGGCTGAATTCATACTGATTAAAATAATAAAGTGTCTGTCTCACTGTGAACTGATAGCGGTCCAAGTCTTTCGAAATCCATTTACAACCTTGCACAGTATCATGAGTGTTAACAACTCTTGCTGTGAGCTTGTTCATTGAATATGACTGTCTTTATAACCAAGATGAACACTGATCATTGTTGATTGATTATAAGCCACACAGAATAAGAGGTGTGGTGGGTTATTCCTTTAAATGGTATTTAAACCCGAATAAAGAACTTCTCTTATGTGCAGTCTTTTGGTTTGGTGAATAACTCACTGGAAGCATTTTATTATGTCTTTTCAATAAATACTTATCCTGCCAGAAATCCATTGAGCTTGTAGTTTCCTGTACACCCTGTCTGTGCTGCAATTTTATCAGCTCTACCTAGTTCTCTTTGTGGACTACAGAAAACCTCCCCCATAAGAAAAGGGAGGTATTTTGTAGCCTAACATACTTCTTTTTCTAGGATGACAACGCTGCTTTCCTATAGATACAGTACAGTAAGTGAGCGTTCCTACCCTAGGACAGGATGTGCGTTACTTGCAGGATCATCAGGTGAAAATAAAGAGAAAAAAAAGTTGAAAAAAAGAAAACTAAGGCAGCCATCATATCTAAGGACTGGTAAACTGAAATATATTCTAATTTTTGGATTTAAATACACTTTAAATGTAAGATTGCAATTGGTAATTAAGGAGTTTCATGACCATATCAAAGCACCAGCACTGTGAAACACTGATCTTCTTTATATGAAGACTGGATAGGCACCAACACCTAAGGAGCCAGTGTAGTAACCCAAGTGCATTAGGCCAAATACTTTTTTTTTAAATTTACTGTGTGATGGTTGTAAGCTGACCTGTACTTCTGAATCAGCATCCACGTGTTGAACTTGGAACCAGGTTTCCCTGTTGTTGTACTTCTGAAGATCTTCTCTCAGTATTGCAACTTTGCCTAGAACAAACACAGAGAAAAATATTTATAAGCAATATATTTATTTAATTTATTTCAATATTTTTACTTAAGCTATTTAGCACATTATTAAACTTTTCATTGAACAGTGCAAGCAACAAAGTGCATTAACCTAATAGTCTTCACCTAATTCAGACCAGTACTAGAATCATTTTTATTGGTTGCTTTGGATTACTGCATATATTGTGCACATGGATCTTCGCCATCTTGGGGTCGCTATCACCTGAATGTGATAAAATTGATATTTAAAAAAAATTTGAAATATTAAATTGGAAGACCTAAAACTAACCTAATTGATAAAAAGATCACAAAGGTCTAAGGTAGCTGGCGAATGTGCTCTATACAGTATGAGCTATGAGAAAACAAGACTGGGCTCCAGGAATTGTATGCAGCAACATTGTTCAAAATTAAAATAGTATTAAACTCTATTTTTTTTTTTTTATAGAATCATTTTTATTGGTTGCTTTGGATTACTGCATATATTGTGCACATGGATCTTCGCCATCTTGGGGTCGCTATCACCTGAATGTGATAAAATTGATATTTAAAAAAAATTTGAAATATTAAATTGGAAGACCTAAAACTAACCTAATTGATAAAAAGATCACAAAGGTCTAAGGTAGCTGGCGAATGTGCTCTATACAGTATGAGCTATGAGAAAACAAGACTGGGCTCCAGGAAGTGGATGCAGCAACATTGTTCAAAATTAAAATAGTATTAAACTCTATTTTTTTTTTTTTTAATAATGAATCCAGATCAAATAAATGTACATTGCCAAGCAATGTATTTATTCAAATATCTGCACAGGGACTTACAGTCATCATGTTTCAGAACAGCTGGCTCGAACTCGATCAACTCTGCTGCCCTTAACTTCCTGTCCAATACAATATCACAAGACAGAGCAGTCTCCAGCAGCTGTCCATCTACGAGCATGGAGAAGGGAAGGGATAGGAACAGGTAGGAGGGAAATGCCCTGCCTTGCTGTGTGTGTGTTTGTGGAGACACACACAGCTTACTAGCACACACAAGGGTGGCCCTGCAAGGGAAAGGAGCCACCCTAAAACAGGATATCAGTGCCAGTGCTCAAAGGACCAGCTGATTCTGCAGGAAGCTAAAACTTTTAATCATCAAGGAGCAGCACCCATTGTAAGTGATTTTATCAGAATTTGAAATATCTCAAATAACCTTTTGGCTTACTTTAGCTTAAACCTTATGATTTGAATAAACAAATTTATAAGCTAATAGTCATCAGAAAACTCACACTATATAATAATGGGCATATTCATAGAGTGGCAAATGTCCAGCTTGCCAGTCATTTGCTTGTTTTTATACCGCTAGCACCCTCTATTAACCCTTTTGCTGTTGTTATAACATGCATTCTGTAGACGCATTTATCATATAGAACAGCTTTCAGTTCTTTGAGAACCGAGGTATGAGGTACCTAGACCTTTGTAATATGAAATGCAGTGAATGTATTCCACATACAGCCTCTTTCCCATACTCCCTTTGCAGATGTATGATTCGTAGGGAGGACATGCAGCACTTGCTCCTGCTTTCCCACTGCCACACACTCCATGCACTGCACATTCATCATACACTGTCATTGGGTCCTTTCAACCCGGATTCATGTATAATCCTATAATCCACTGCTTTTTATAAATATTCCCCTATATTTCATGTATTATTTATGTAATAAAGCAAGCAATAGAGCAGAGGATAGTCACTACGTGGAAAGCAACACATAACAGATACACTGCACTACTCTACTGCCCTTTTTTTTAATCTTCAACTCATAAAAATACAGGACTGCAGATTCCCCCCATTAAGTCAGTGATCACAAATCTATTTGCTGAAATCCCACACAGCCTAGTGTTGCTGATTACAGCTAGCCTGCTATGTTAGCTGTTCCCATTTAGAACCGCCAGTCAGAGATGGTTTCATGTAAAACCCTGCTCACGTTAAGAAAAAAAGAAAAGCATTAGTCATGCACACTTCATTTTGAGAGGAATGAAAACAAAAGCTATGTTTGAGGCACCTGGTACCATGGCAAGAGGAAAACATTCATTTAGAAGGTCATGACGCCATTACCATAACAGGCACAAAAGGTTAAAAACAAGAAATAAATACGTTTGTCTGGATATTTAACAAGACCCTATTGGATTTTATTCTGTACCAGTCCTGTATCATGGGAAGAACAAAATCAGAGCTCTATGTGGCTCTGTCAGCACCTCCCAGCTCAATCAAAGCTACCTATTCAACAGACTTTTGTCGAAGGAGCCAGGTGGAAAATAGTCTGCTGAACAATTGCTGTTCCTGTGTACTGACAGCAATGGGCACCGGCTGCCAGAATACAATAGCCAGCATGGATACTAGTCCATTTACGCTGTTTAGGGCCTGTTCACACCACAAACATTGTGTTCCAGAGTGGTCAGGCTCTGGAACGCACTGTATCGCACTCCGGCTGGTTACCTAGGTTCAGGGGTGGGAGGGGCCTGGCGGTGCACTGAAGTCTGTTCAATCACCCGCACCCGAACGCAAGGCATATTAGTGCCTGCGTTCCAGTCCAGTGCGATCTGCAAAAATCTTGCAGCATTTTTATTTTAATCTTGCATGAAGGGAGCTGGCCGGAGTGCAAGGCCATGCATTTCAGAGCCTGACCACTCTGGGACACACTGTTTGTGGTGTGAACCGGCCCTTAGTGTGGATGGAGAAAAGAGAACTAAAGCCAAACCTTTTTTTGGGGCTTTAGTCCTGTTTTGGGTCACAGGAGTACATTTGCTAATGTACTCCTGTGACCCAAAGTCAGCATTTAGTGGGCTACTGCCGCTATCTGCTGACAGCGGAGAGCCACGCCACAACAATATTGTCAAGATCCACCCCACTGCCTGATTGACGGTTGGCTCTGCCTCTCTAGATCCAGAGACAGCTGTGCTTGCCCCCCTCCCCAGTCTGTCCCTCCAATGTGTGCTGGAGGAACAGAGAGGGGAGGTGGGAATCCCTATGGGGAGGGGTGACTGACAGTCACTGTTCTTTGCAGAAAGAAGATTGTGAGATAAATGGCCAGCAGTTTGTGATCGCTCAGTTCTCGAAGTATAGAGCCAGCATGTGGCAGCTGCAGTGTTCAACACCGGCTCCAAATATTGGAAAGAGTACATTTTACTTTAAAGAAGTAGTAAACGTTCACTGCTTAGTAACTTGATGCACTCTAGGGAAGCAGTGAAACATTGCCCAGGACATGTTTTGTTTGTAATCTGTACCCAAAGACTCACATGCTATGCTGTTTACTGCCACTGGCTCCAGTTCACATAGAGCTGCTTCCCTAACCTGCAGACAAAGTAAGTGCCTTGATAAGCTGCTATAATTGCTTTTTATATTTTAGGGTTTAATAACACTTTAACTTATAGAGAAAACAGAAACCTTGCTGATTGTTTGCCTGCTTGAGCCATTCCTTAGCTGTGAACATGACCTTTCATGCATGACAGTGCTACATTGGTCTTTACATAATACCAGGAACATATTTTTAACCCAGACAATTATGTTATTAAACACATATTTTCTCATTTATTTGGACTTGCTATATTAAGGTTCTTTATTTAGCTTACAGTTGTATCACCCAGCATTATCCTATTAACTGTATTACACAACGACTCCTAATTAGATTGATTAAAATAGTTATTTAGGTTCCTTTCAAGACACACATCAAAAAATAAAGTGTTAACTTCAATTCATATTTCATTCGTATCATTTCTCATTTAGTTATTAATGTAATAGCAGTTAGTAAGTCCAAAATAAGGAAAGGGCTTTGTAAATCTTCAGAAAACAACCAAGGGGACATTGCCATACACACAATGTTAGAGTATGTAGTGTGCAGCATATGACGCATGGCAGATTTATTCTGAAGTGACCTGCTTACACCTATATGCAGCGGCGTATTTAACTTTGCTGCTGCCCTAGGCAAGGCAGCAGCATGACTTCCATACATGTACGAAAGCCTAATTTAAAGTGTAACTCCACTTTTATCGAGAAAAGCCAATAACCCCCTTTTAACAAACTTTGTTGCAGATTCCTACCTTTTTCTGTTCTAATGAGAAAACTGTTTGTTTCACCCTGTCCTTTCCAGACTGATTCCTGAAGGGGAGGGTCTGATTCATTATAGCCACCTGTTGCACTTTCAGTGTCCTAATGAGGAAAGCTACAATGTCTGCACCTCTTTAGAAGTAGTTAACACTTAGGGAGTACCGCAGCAAAAATCATATTTCGATGGCAGGTAATGCCTAAATGTGACTTGTATCTTAGTAAGAATAGGAAATCAGTATTTAGGAAATCGGTATTTATTTCCTATGCTCCTCAGCTCCATCTAGTGGCCATAATGTTGTAGTTTACATTCGACTTGAAAAGAAAATATACAGTACTAAGAACATTCATTTTTGCCTCTATTCGCACGAACAAACATTCACAGAGATTTGCAGGGCAAATGACTCAGCAAATATTTAATTAATAGACCCCAAAGGTCTTAAGGGTCTATTTATGACAAAATCTGCAAGAAAAACAGCTAACAGCTCTAAACTAAAAACTAACAGCTCCAATGAAAAAATGTTGTACTTTTTTTTATTAATAAGCCCAAGATGAACTGATCACATGTATATCTGTGACTGACACCTATGGATGATAATACACCACTACTCAAACAGCGCATCAAAATGGCTATAGCACACACAAGCATAATGACAATAGGCCAATTGGAAACTTGTTAGGAATAGTTTAATTTAGTATCTTTTTAGGAGCCAGGCAAAAAATCTAATCAAGTGAACTTCACTGGAATAACAAGCATTGTTCAAACTATTCCTGAACCTCTGGAGTTGCCTTCGAACACCTAATTTGAAAAGCAACCAAGCAATTGGGTTCTAAATCAAGATCCAAATCATTCATTTTGTGCTTCACTGGGCAAACTAAATTGTGGAACACATTCGCCTGAAAATAAT